CACGTTCGTATAATTTTAGGGGGTGGAGCCATGGATGGACGCGACCTCATGGTCGGCGCCATCTTGGATTTCCCTGAGCGGCATGGAGGAACGGTTCCCGGCTCGCCGCTAAGGAGTTGGTGCGGTCGTGCCGGTCGGGCACGGACGCACATGGCGGCGAGCCAAGGGCCGTGACACAAAGTAGGTGGTATGTTCCCCACCAAGGAAATCAAAGTGCGACTCCTATAGATAAAATCTGCAGAGATAAAATCAGGAAGGACCAAATGGAATAAAAAAATCTAGTTTTATTGAAAACAAATAATAAAACCAACATACAGCATAAAGCACTGATAAAATACAAACGCATTTCGCCAACAATTAGGCTTTCTCTAAGTGTTTTGGTGTAACAATCCACTTCTACTCGGATTTGAGGACCCTCTGAAGACTCTGCTTCCCTTTCCTCATACAGTATCTATTCACGGCCAGAAAAAAAGAGACACTGGATTAGAAAGTTAAAGCTGCCATACTTGTATCCAACAAGCACCAGAAATTTATAGTCTGTCTGTCTGTCTATCTATCTATCTGTCTATTGTCTATTTTTCTGTCTGTCTGTCTATCTATTCAGATGGTTTAGCCTGAAGATTAAGTTATCCACATGTTTTGTGGTAGACAGAGTAATTATAAAGCTTGATTGTAGCATTCATGGTACATAACAGGTTTAGAATTTTAAGTGTAAACTCACAGACCTATCAAGGTTAACCAATTTCTAATGGAACATAGCTTTAACATATGAGTAAGTTCAAACTATTAGTTTGAGAGCAAAGACCATGACATATAAACGAAAGAAAAAGAAGGGAAGAACAATGTGTGTTTCAGCGTCAACAATAGAATCAATGTAAGTAAAAAAAAAAGCATATTAGAAAACATTCATTTTTTTACAAAGCCCCTATTTTTTATAGTACCAAAAATCTGCAAGGACAAAGGAAAGACTCAAATGGTATTTTTTTGTTTTTTGTATCTTTTAGATAAAATACATAACAGCTTTGGACCGGTCCATGTGAACCAACTGTAAAGGACGCCAATGTCTCATACCTCCCAACATGTTAAATGGACTAAGAGGGACACTTTCATTTTCAGAGTGTGGCCAGGGACGCTGTTCTGAAAATTTGTTGATGACTTACTAATGGCAATGCATATAACCTAAATGTAACTTAGAACAAGAACACTGTTTGTTATTTATTTATACTGATTTCTAAACATACCTATTGCAGTTAGAAGTCACGTAACTTGGTGTATTATTGCTGCTGGGGTATATTATGCTTAGACACATCAACTATATGTAGCTACTAGATAAGAGAGTCATTAGGATATAAAGGAGGGACAAAGGGATTCTGGACCAAAATAGAGACTGTCCCTATTATCAGGTTTAAACATAGAGATCTATCTGTATAGTTAAGGCCTGACTTTTTCATAACTTTTTAATGTTACCTGAAACAGGTATATTGTAAATTAATCTCTAAGGTGACTATTCACTACAGTCAAGTAGGAAACTCTTTGTTGCAACCAATTTACATTGACTTGGTCAGTATATCTTCAGTAGAGTTAAAAAAAAATACAAGTGAAGCAAGTTGGAGATTGTGTAGATTCATTAAATATATTATTCCCAATTTATTAATTGAAATGGATATGTAAATGTTTCATTGTACATCCCCCAGCCTCCCGTTAACACCGCTTGACCACCCCAACCATTTCTGGCCCCATGAACAGTGAAACTTACCTTTTTCTAACATTGTGCCTGTCCCACTGGGTCTTCTCTCATAGCAAAGCCATCTTTGTGTTCCTAAGATCAAATGATGTGCACACCCAAGGCTTCCAATTGAACTGTGTTGACACTCATTATTGCACTACACTCAATACACTCAATACAGAGTGTCAGTGACATACCATTCCTGGAAGTGATGTGACGTTGGAAGGAGGTGAGTGCAACCAATTACAAAAGCTTCACTAAAGCTCCACCATTTGTCAACTTTTTTTTTTTTATCTTTGACAATTTTTATTGAAGTTTTATAGGGGTACAGAAGAGAATAGGGGGTGGGGGAGCAGTGGTAACGTAAAGTATCTCATACACATTGACCTTAGGACAGTGTACACATTTATCATACACAGTTTGCTTTTCATACGATCATTGTGTTATATCGTGATGCCCTGATTGGGTCTGCTGATTATTGTCCACCCCATGCCCTGAGGGGGGGGGCTCACATCGGTCCCTTCCAGGGTGGTAATCGACTGGGTTTGTGATTGATGCTGGGTGTAGAGCTTTGGTATTTCATATACCACTGGGGTGGGGGGTGAACCGTGGAAGAGGATCAGAGTGGGGACGGACGGGAGGGGGGGGATGAAGGGGGGAGGAGAAAGGAGGGGGGGAGAGGGTAGGGCTCTCCTAGGTAGTCGGCTGTGTGTGGTCGTTTCTGCAGGACTATCTGTCTTACATGTGTTTTATTCGAGTTGCGGCATTATCGTTGTGTTTGCAGTCTCCAGAATTATTTACATTTTCATTTACAGTTGCATTGACCTTTACATTTACACCCTTTGCTACAGTTTCGTTGTCGAAGGGGCACAGCTGTCGGTGTGTAGAACCCTGCTACCGTCATCTCAATTGGGGGTTATTTTATTAGTACGCTCCATGTACAGTTGCCAGGTTTCCCAGGCTTGTGACCAAACTTTTTTGGAGTGGTTTGAGCGTCTAGCTGCCAGCTCGTAGAGCTTAGTTGTTTCTATTGTTTGTATGCATTCTGATATTTTGGGTGGGATATTAGATTTCCAATGTCTGCTAATGACCGTGAGCGCGGCTATAAGTATGTGATAGATTAAGTATTTTTGCCTGCTCCGCAGCCCCTTTGGAAAGAGGTGGAGGAGGTATATTTCTGGTTTGCGGGGTAGTAGTGTTTTTGTGCTGTCTTGGATAATGGTGGTTATGGTATTCCAGTAGGGTGTTAAGGAGGGGCATTCCCACCAAATGTGGAGCATTGTGCCCTTGTGTTGTTGACATCTCCAACAGATATCGGAGGCCTGTGGATAGGTGGCCTTTAGGCGTGTGGGTACTAGGTACCACCGGTATAAAATTTTCGGGGATAGTTCCATGTGGGAGGCACATTTGGAGAGTGAATTGTGTGCCAGGAGAATCTCATTCCATTGTTTTTCACCAAGAGTGTACGTAAGTTCCCTCTCCCATGCAGCTATGAAGGAGAGGTTTTTGTGGTCTTTTGGGGGATGCATGGTCTGGTATAGTTCCGAGATGAGTTTTTTGGGGGTTGCGAGACGTGAGCATATTTTCTCTACCACCGTCAGCTGTAGCCCCTGTACATTGTCAGGTCTTGTTATAGTTTGCTTGCGGAGCCATGATTGCAACTGCATGTAGGGGAAAGCTGCCCTTGGAGTCAAATTATGACCTGCTGTTAGGTCTGCGAGATTTCTGAGCTTGTTTTCCTGGAGCAGCTGGTGTAAGTGTGTTACTCCGTGCTGATGCCATACGGTGTAGTTAAAATTAGGTATTATATAGTGTAGTGTTTGTATGGGCATGGCAGGCGATATTTTGCCCAGCCAGCCCAATGTGCGGCAGTACCTGTCCCATATGGTCAGAGTGAGGGCTGTGGTTGGGAGCAATTTTGCCTTAGTAGGCCTGCTGTGCTGGGGAAGCCATGCCAGTACATTGATGGGAATGTTATTAGCATGCTGCGCCTCCAGTTCCATCCATTGGGTTGGGTGGTCTCGATGGCAAGCCGCTAGTAGGGGGCCCAGAATGGCTGCTCTGTAGTAACTGTCTAGGTTGGGCACTCCCATTCCCCCATTTTTGCGTGGCATGTATAGCGTGCTTTTCGCTACCCGTGCTTTTTGTCTGTCCCATATAAAGGTTAGTAGTGTTTGTTGAGCATCTCGTATGAATGTGGGGGGTATCTTTATGGGTAGCGTTCTAAACAAGTATTGCAATTTAGGTACAATGATCATTTTAATTGCGGCAATTCTCCCTGACCAAGATACGAATTTACTCTTCCATCCTAGTAGTAGGTTTTTTATTTCAGTCAGTGTTTTTTGATAGTTTATTTTAAAAAGGTTTGCTAGATTTGGGGTGAGATTGATTCCTAGGAATTTTAGATGGTCGTTTCGCCAGTCGTATTTAAAAGAGATACGCAACCTATCCAAGACCTCCATCGGGATATTTATGCCCATTGCTTGAGTTTTGTTTATATTAAGTTTATAATAGGAGCACTTGCTGTATTGGGTGAGCGTATCGTGGAAGTTAGGTAGGGATATGTGTGGTTGCTCGAGTGTTAAGAGGATGTCGTCTGCGAAAAGTGTGAGTTTGTGTTCTTTGCCTTGTCTCGTAATGCCGTGTATGTTTGGGTTGTCCCTAATGAGTTGTGTGAGAGGTTCTAGCGAGAGAATATAAAGGAGAGGCGATAGTGGGCAGCCCTGTCTTGACACGTTGGTTATGTGGAATTGTTTAGAGCTAAAGCCCCCATTGGTGACTTTCGCTGTCGGTTTAGAGTATAATGCCTTTACTAACCGTAAGAAAGTGTCTGGGAAGCCATATTTGATCAGAACAGCTTGGAGGAAGGGCCAATGCAATCTGTCGAAGGCTTTTTCAGCGTCAAGTGACAGCATAACGCACTGGGCCCCCCCTCCGCTTCCTCCCTGTAGTAGGTCCAAGATCTTTCGGGTTCCGTCCGCTCCTTGCCTACCACTAACAAATCCCACCTGGTCCTCGTGTACCAGGGTCGGGATAATGTTCTTTAATCTGTTAGAGAAAATTTTTGCCAGTAATTTGATGTCCGTGTTAAGGAGGGAGATTGGTCTTAGATTTTGGCATTTGTTAGGTGGTTTGCCTGGTTTTGGCAATGTAGCTACATGTGCCATGAGCATGTCTTGGGGCACTTGGCCCGTCGTGAGGATATGGTTAAAGGTTTTGTCCAGATATGGGGTTAGGATTGTGGTCATTGTCTTGTAGTAGGAGTTTGTGAGTCCGTCGGGTCCCGGTGATTTGCCATGGGGGAGTGAGTGTATAGCTTGTTGTATTTCTTCTTGTGTGACTGGGTGTTGTAGGATAGTTTTCTGGTGTTCCGTCAGTGTTGTCAGCGAGAACTGTCCAAGTAGATTTTGAATGTCTTGGGATGTGGGTTGATGTAGTGTGGGGTCTTCTTTGAGGTTGTATAATGAGTGGTAATAGTCTGCCATAGTATCATTAATATCTTGTGGGTTGTGGATTTTAGAGCCTTGGGAGGTGAGCATTGGATTGTTTTTGGTGTAGTAGAGTCGCTAGATTCCTGCCTGCTTTGTTTCCTTGTGAGTAGGTTTTTTGTTTCAGCTTATGTAAAATGTGTGCTGTTTTAGAGATTGCCATGTTGTTGATACTCGTCGTAGTATCATGGATCGTCTGTGCTAGTTGTGGTGATGGGTCTACTATGTTTGCCGCTGTTGCGTCTCTTAAAGTGCGCAGCAGGTGTAGGTGTTCTTGTTGTGCTTTCTTTTTTAAAAAGGAGGCTCTGCTGATGAGGAGTCCTCTGATGACCGCTTTATGGGCTTGCCACACAGTGGTCGGATGGACATCCGGCGTATCATTAGTTTGGAAATATGATGTCAGGGCTTCTGTTAATGTTGTAGTGAATGTCTGGTCACCTAGAAGGGAATCATTGAGCCGCCACGGTGGCCGTCCCCTATGTTGGTATTCCTCAGTCAGCTCTATTGTGGTCGGGGCATGGTCTGACCATGTTATGTCCCCGATTTCGCTATTTGTTACTCTGGTAAGCAATGTACCTGTTATGAAAATGAAGTCTATCCGTGAATATGATTTATGCGCTGCTGAATAGAACGTGAACGTTTTCTCATTAGGATGGAAGGCTCTCCAAGGGTCGTATAGGCCATATTCCCCTAGCAGTGTATTGATTGCTTTGCTTTGTGCTTTGAGTGCTTTGTGCCTCGGTGTCGTGGTGTTTAGTGTGGTGTCCATGTGTGGGTCAAGAGGGTGGTTAAGATCTCCACATAATATGAGTGGGGCAGTCTGGTTAGGTGGGAGTGCAGAGAGCACCTTACGTAGGAAGGCGCGTTGGTGTACATTGGGAGCATAGAAGCTGACTATAATATATGGCAGGTTATTTAGGAGGCAATGTAGCATTACAAATCTTCCTTGTTTGTCTTTGATTAGGTTTAGGGCTTCAACTGTTAAGGAGGAATGGAGAAGGATTGAGGCCCCTCTCGATTTGGAGGAGTGAGTTGCGTGATATTGGTGAGGGTAATGTTGTGCTCCAAAGTTAGGCACCCTAGATGTAACAAAATGGGTCTCTTGTAAACAGATAATGTCCGCCTGAGTCTGTTTGGCTTCCTCCAGCATCATGCGCCTTTTATGTGGGGTGTTTAGTCCCCTGCAATTGTGTGAATATATTTTCATGTGATGGGTGGGTGATAAAGGGTGCTCGTTTGCAGTTCTGCTATGCCTATATGGATTTGCAGATGTTGCAGGGTTCGTATGGTGCACCGCTTAGACGGCGCCTGTGCGACTACGTTGTTGCGCCCGGGGGTGGGAGGTTCGGGAATGACAGAGGAAAGGGGTGAAAGAAACCAAAGTATATACAGTATGACCCAAACGTGGGTCTTGGCACAGTGGCATCGTGCCATGGGGGAGGAGCGCTGAAACAGCGTCTCTGGTATTGTGGCCGTTGGGCTCCCTTGTACACATAGTTGCTGTCTCTCCTCAGAGCTATAAGTCAATAGCGACCTAGGTATTGTGCATGGCATTCTCAGTGCTGGCCTGTGGGCATGGGTGGGAGAATCAAATCGGACCCAAGGGAAGGTTTTGCGGGGCGGTGTGCAGGTCACCGCTTGGTGCCTATCGTGGTTTTCCCACTTGTTGTGTCGGTCTTTATGATGGGGTGTGGTTCTCCCATCGTAACTTTTGGATGTGATGAGCCAGGCTACGTAGTTGGGCGGGGCGGTGCGGTTGCAGTGGGTTTGACCTACTCGTAAAACAATAGTTGGTTATATGGTGTCATGTACAATTTTCTCTCTATGGACAATGTCCCGGTAAATTACATAATCGTTGTGCACCTTTGTACATTCTTGGAGTACCTGTCTTATGTATGCATAGCCTCAACCTTGTAAATAATAGTTAGGTATTAGGATCACCTCCAACTACTGGTCTTTTCTTTGCCTATACCATGCCGCCCTTCCTTGTTGCCCAAAGTTTGCCCTGGTTATCACCCATGTGGGCATCCCACCCGCCCACATCCAACAAACCATGCATAGTGTGGTATGATTGTGTGGTAAGTGAATAAAATGCTAATCAAAGCAGTTGATCACATGAAAAAAGAAAACTTAAACTAAACTTGTGATAACAATTAGCAGTACAATCGCATGAAAAAGAAAAAACTTAAACTAAACTTGTGATAACAGTTAGCAGTACATATTAATATCTCACGTGTCCCTGGTTATGGCCTGGACGGCCTAGTCCCTCAGGTGGATCATGGCGATTTGTTCCGTGTTGGGACCTGGCGCCATTCTGGTGTCAGACGTCTCGCTGGGCTTGCTTGAGTTGTGGAGGGGGGGTTAGTAAGGAGCCCCCAGTCTCTCAATAGTCGGGTGCCTTCTTCCGGCGTGGAGGCCACGTTGATCTCGCCGCTTTTGGTAATTAGGAGTTTGGTGGGGTATCCCCAACGGTACCTTATTCCTGCACGTCGCAATTCTTCTGTCACCGGTTGGAAATCCCTCCTGCGCTTGAGAGTCGCCGCGGACAGGTCTGCTAGGATCTTGATAGTGGCGTAGTTTTCATGTGGTTCTGAGCGGATTCTGCTGGCGCGCAATACTGCCTCTTTTATGTGGTAGTAGTGTGCCCTTAGTAGGATGTCGCGAGGGATATTGCCAGGCAGATTGCGTGGTTTGGGCACCCTGTGTACCCGGTCTATTAGGAACATATCCGTGGGGATGTCCGGAGCGTATGCCCTCAGAAGGCCTTGCACATAGGCTGGTAGATCATTAGGCATGATGCTCTCCGGGACTCCTCGTAGCCGGAGGTTGTTTCTCCGCGAGCGGTCCTCAGCGTCAGCCATACGCGCCTCCATTGTTTCGATTTTTTGTTCCAGCCGCGCTACATGGTCGGCCATATCGTTGTGCGCTGTTGCATACTCGCTTAGCTTATTTTCCACGTGTGTGGTTCGTTGGCCTATGTCCTGGACTTCCCTGCGGAGTTGTCCTATGGAGGATTGCCATGTTTGTACTAGTTTGTTGGCCATGGCTTCCATCGCTGCATCCAGGTGTGCCTTAGTGAGGTTGTCCTGGCTATCTTGATGTGCGCCCGTGAGTGAGATGTTTCCCGCCGTTTGTTCGTCGGCGCCATCTTGGATTGTGCCGCGGTCAGTTTCAGAGCCGCCCGCGGCTTTGTTGTTGAAGAAATTTAGTTTTTCCGCCTTCTGTGTGCTCTTTTTCCCCTTGGGGTTCGCCATCTCGGGTGTGATGAGGGTTTTCTGAGCCCTGGGAGACGATGTCGTCGGATTGCTGGAGCCCGGGTGCCGGAGCAATTTCCTAGGCTGCCAGGTTGCTCGGCGGTCGGCCACGCCCCCCCGCAATGAGCATTTTATAACGTGTGTAGTATGTGTTAAAGTTATTCTGTGGCCTGCCCCAGCCTAGCATTTGTCAACTTTTGTCAACTTCCGGGTTATATATAAGGAAAAGTAGTCCCTATTTTCCCTTATGTATAACTTTTTTTTTTTTTTAAACAAAACATAATTTTCCAAAAAACAATTAAGCAAACGGACAGCAAAGTCGTGGGGAGGGATTTGGAGCATGAAAAAAAAAAGTGATAGATGCGCTTTAAACTTTCGTGCTGCTAAATATGAAATGAGTATTCCAAGTGCTGTTTGCTGTATCCTATCATTGTTTTGAAAATTTTAACAAGCTATACTTTTTCTGAA